TCAGCATGCGTAGCTAGGACCATAGCAACAACACAGTTGTAAACTTCCGCTATCAATTTCCGGTAAGGCCAACCGGCAATTTCAAATTTGACTGACAGCTTAGAAATTGTAACAGAAAAAAATTAACAATAGGAAATCAAATTAATAAGAATTTTGTTAAGAAAATGATAACCAAATTCAGATTCCTCACAAAAAATATGTTGTCATGACAAAATCTGTGTCAGACCTTTTATTGAAAAACATGAATTTGAAGAAATTCTTTCTCTGAAGTGAAGGCAGTCAGGTTTTTGCATTTCCTCCATTTTCCTGAGTTGTCTCCCTTTTATACCCCACCCTTGGCCTTTAACATCTTATATATATATACATATATAAATTTGTTTTAGGTTATTACGTGACACATTAATTTTATATACATATTTTCTGTAACGAAAAGGACGTAAGTAAGTTGCAATAACTTTTGTCCAATCCATTTGTCTTTTGCTGCAATAAAATCGATTTAAACTAAAAAAAACAGGTTCTGTCAAGGTGCTGTCGAGCACCTGTGCCTTGTAGATATCCAAATAAGTAAGCATAGTCTTTATATCTAGGTGTAACTTTGAGCATTAGCAAAATAAAGCCAATATAGCTTTACCCAATTTGGTCGCTAATTGCTTCTGCGCACTGAAAATCCTAAATAAGAGACTTAATCAACACATGTCCCTATGTGGTATTCTAATAATGCCAGTTCTCATGATTGCGTATTCGTTTACGATACGGAAAATAACAATATATTGCTATGGTAATATTTACAATTATATTCTCTTCAGTACAATACATCTTTGAAATCCCAGGGGTAACGCTTTCAAATTGAAGGCTCGCAGCTAGCTATTTGATTGATTTCACGTGAAAAAATCTCTCACCGAATCGCTTAGCTGATATCTGTCCTTTGAACATTACAGAGGAGCGACGCCCAACGTCAACGCCGGTCAATTTTACCGTTTCGCTGCCGCGCGATTAGTTATATGTACATCAACGGATCAAACTAGTCTTATTTTACATATGTGTCATCCACAATTAAGGTGTTGTACACTGGGCATAGCACATTCGAGAGCAACTTCGCGAGCCAAGGGTGTCCAATACGATACTCTCCTATGAATAGGAGAGTATCGTATTGAACACCCTTGGCTCGAGAGGTGCAGTGAGCGTAAGTGAGCGCAACCCATGGAGTATTGAGGATGAGTACAATAATGACCTGGGTCATACTCTCTGAACGGACTGAATCATTTACTTATGTGTGTATCGTGACAAAAGCAATGAGTAGCGTATAGGGGACTTTTTTTACGATGATGTTGACATCAACATATATCCGGGTCGAACGTACTCGGAGAGATAAGACATAACGGTGGTTAGAAAAGCTAGGTTAGTTTGTGAAGGATACAATACCCATGGAAACCTTTATCCACAGAATTAGATTAAGTTCACGTTACATCATATTATATTGCAAAATACGTATTTAATATGCAAATGATGCTATTAACAGTATCACGAAAAGAATATTATTTAGTTTATAATTCACAGGGTAACCTAGCTGAGTTGAGTTTTAAACCTGTTAACGCTAACAAAGCTTAATGTTTTTATTTATATGATAACTGTTGGTTGTTTACACATACCACATGGAGACCGGCAAGGTAGATAGGACATGTGCCACAGCTCAGCCGTCGCCGACACCCATACTTTGTCCTGCTTTGTGGAAAATTTACATCCGTGTATGTTCAGGGAAGTATCCAATTGCATATGATCGTAAGAGACAGAGATGTACATAGTACACGTTGTACTATATACGTATCTGTATGAGGCGACTAATGTGCCACCTCCTGCAGAATTTGGGGTGGTACTTCCTCGCCTCGGGTTACGCTCACTTTCACGCTATGCACCCCAAAGGCGAAATGGAAGAAATCAAGAATAGACCTGCTATAGCCCACAGCATGTGTATCGTAAAAGGCGAATAATGTGGGGCCCATGCTGAATTTTCGTTCGCGTCTTCTACTAAAAGCACATAAAAGAGACCAAAATTGTTCTGCTGCCTCATCGCAACACTTGAAGAGTGTCGCGTTTTAACTTGCTGGCAGATTGTCAAATTTGATCATGCTATGAAAGCGAATATATCTTCTGCTCAAAGAACGTTACATTTGATTCTGCTTAGATAACGTCACGTTCGATTTCACTAGGAGGTTGTCATAGTTGATTATTTTGTGAGAAATGTGTCACATTTAATGTAATTAGGTAAACTTCACATTTGATTCTGTTAGAACATCAGATTTGAATTCGCTATCTAACGTCACATGTGCTCCTGCAATGAGAACGAGTCCCTGCAGGTAGGGCGTAAGAATTGTACCTGCTGCCCCCAATTGCATGATCGTAAGAGGCGACTAAATTTGGGACCTTATCTCTTCTCTCCTTTCTAAATAACTTTCTTCTTCCTAATGTCTCCCTTGACAATGCCTCACTTTTGGCCATTTGTTGAGCGTTCGCCCCTGTGAGGAAGGCTTTGGGTTCTGTCCCCTGGCCGAGACATACCAAAGTCTTTAAAAATGGTAGTTTCTACTCCTGCTTAACGCTCAGCAAATTAGGAGTGGGACGACTGGTTCGCCCGTTGTCAGTATAATGTGACCGGGTGGGGCGTCCTGCTGGGTGTCTTCGGCAGCATGTCTCAGTGAGGTAGCACTATAAAGTCGGCATCAGTTCCGCGCTATCACAAGGAGACAAACACGAACATATCGCAGCCTCCCAAAATACACACGCATACATTACACGCATGCATCTTGCACACAGGGGAGGCCGTCCTTAAATGACCTTAGCTGTTAATAGGACGTTAAACAAAATCAAACAAACAAACAAACAAACAAGCAATGAGAACGTCACATATTCTAGATCACATTTGATTCTGCTAGGAAAATATAACATTCAGTTCTGCTACGAAAACGTGTCATTTGATTCTGCTAGGAGAACGTCATATGGATTTGTTATGACATTTGGCTATGAGAATATCGTACTTGATTCTGCTAGAAGAACGTCATATTTGATTCTGCTAGGAAAACGTCAAATTTAATCCTGCTAGGAGAACGTCATATTGTGGGAAGAATTCCATATCTGATTATGTTAGTAAAAGGTAATAGCTTATCTAAAGCAAGAAAAACGTCACATCTGATTTCGCTAAGAAAATTTTACATCCGATTCTGCTAGGAAAACGTCATATTTGATTCTGCTAGGAAAACGTCATATTTGATTCTGCGTGGAAAACGTCACATTTGATTCTGCTAGAAAAACGTCATATTTGATCTTGCTAGGAGAACGTCACATTTGATTCTGCTAGGAAAAGTTTACATCTAATTCTGCGAGGAAAATCACATTTGATCTTGCTAGAACTTCACATTAGATTCTACTAGGAAAATATCATATTTGATTCTGCGAGGAAAACGTCACATTTGATTCTGCTAGTAAAAGGTAATATCTTATTTTATGCTAGGAAAAGTTCACATCTGATTTTGCTGAGAAAAGTTCACATCTGATTCTGCGAGAAAAACATCACATTTGATCTCGCTAGGACTACGTCGCATTTGATCTCGCTAGGAAAACGTCATATCTGAGTCTGCTAAGAGAACATCACATTTGATTCTGCTAAGAGAACGTCACATTTGATTGTGCTAAGAGAACGTCACATTTGATTCTGCTATGAGAATGTCACATTTGAATCTGCTAAGAGAACGTCACGTTTGATTCTGCTAAGAGAACGTCGCATTTGATTCTGCTATGAGAACGTCACATTTGATTCTGCTAAGAGAACGTCACATTTGATTCTGCTATGAGAACGTCACATTTGATTCTGCTATGAGAACGTCACATTTGAATCTGCTATTAGAACGTCACATTTGAATCTGCTAAGAGAACGTCACATTTGATTCTGCTAAGAGAACGTCACATTAGGTTCTGGTATGAGATATCACATTTGATTCTGCTAAGAGAACGTCACATTTGATTCTGCTATGGAAACGTCACATTTGATTCTGCTATGAGAACGTCCCATTTGATTCTGCTATGAAAACGTCGCATTTGATTCTGCTATGAGAACGTCATATTTGATTCTGCTATGAGAACGTCCCATTTGATTCTGCTATGAGAACGTCCCATTTGATTCTGCTATGAGAACGTCCCATTTGATTCTGCTATGAAAACGTCCCATTTGATTCTGCTATGAGAACATCACATTTGATTCTGTTAAGAGAACGTCACATTTGATTCTGCTATGAGAACGTCACATTTGATTCTGCTAAGAGAACGTCACATTTGATTCTGCTAAGAGAACATCACATTTGATTCTGCGAAGAGAACGTCATATTTGTTTCAGCCAGTAAAACGTAATATCTTATCTTATAGGAGGAAAACGTCACATTTGATTCTGCTATGATAATGTCACATTTGTTTCTGCCAGTAAAACGTTATAACTTATCTTATAGTAAGAAAATGTCACATTTGATTTTGCAAAGAAATCTTCACATTTAATCCTGTAAGCGTCACATATTCTGCAAGACCATCCCAATTGATTCTGCTGGGAAAAAGTAACATTTGATTCTGCTACAAGAAGGTCATATTTGATTCTGCTATGACAACGTCACATTTGATTTTGCTAGGAAAACGTCAATTTTGATTCTGTAAGGAAAACGTTGCATTCGATTCTGCTTCGAGAGAGTCAAAGATTCTGCTCTGAAAAATCATATTTGATTCTACTAACAGAACATCACCTTTTATTCTGCTTGGAGAGGGTCAAACTAAGAGAATAGTTCTGCGAGGAGAACATTAATCTGATTCTGCTAATACTTATAGAATGTCATACCTGGTCCTGCTGCTAGGAGAACCTCACACATAAACAAGGGAAAGTTTGCTACACACTATCCATTAACTTGATATACACGTTTAAACTTTCCAACTATGGAAGCTAAAAGGAAAGAAACACAAACACCAGATAAGAATTGTGTCAATTTATTGAATAAAATTAAATAAAAAAAAATAACTAACGGTTCAAAATCCGTTCACAAACATCTCACTCGTCAAACAATCAGTCTGCACTGGTCACACCAGGCGTTATATAAATCAGACACACCACATATTCATGTATATCACAGGTTCTCCTCAAAGGATCTGAACGATATTCATTCAAGAAATTCAATGTACTCTTGTGTTAGGAAACTAAATATCTAATTTTGATATTTTCCATTCATGAAGGATCCCTGTATTACTGGCAGAAAACGAAACTATGAACTGGAAACTGTTTTCAAAGGCATGACAATAGTTTTAACAAAGGCATGCAGCAGTTTTATGAAGAAAAAACAATTGCTGAAATTAATTTAAAAAAAACCCACCGTAAGTGTTTTGAGAGTAAAAATAAAATGAGGCCAAACAGATATTCGAACCCCAAACACCTAACCACAATATGGTTGCTCAACCAACTGAACAATCTAGTTCCCCGACCAAATTTCCAAAACAAAATTAACAACAGTGGAAATTCTCTAGTTTTTCGCCTACAGTGAGCCAGGAATCCTTCAAGTCCATTGGTTTGGTGTGTTTGTATTTTATGTCCTATTAACAGCTATGGTCATTTAAGGACATGCCAGGTTTTGTTGGTGAGTAAAGCTAAGCCAAAGTACCAGAGAAAAACCACCGACCTACAGCCAGTACCTGGCAACTGCCCCACGTGGAGGGCTAGTGATCTTAACCCTTTCACCACTGTAGACCATAATGGACTCATCCAGATCAATGCATGGAAGAGATTAATAAAGTTACACAGGGGTGAAAGGGTTAAAGGGTCAGATGCCTTAACCACTCGGCCCCTTATTAGTCTATTGTTGTCTCCCTAGACAATAAGTGTACCATTATCCGTCGAAGTCCACATCGTTAAAGTACCTGTGAATATACTTTAGCACTAGCATTCAAAAACAGCAATCATAATACACCTCCCGTATATAAAAATAAGGTTATATTACCACTGTTAATCACAACAATGATCCCACAACTGTACACAAACCAACCGGTTATCCCGTTAAGGCCGGCCCTATAAACGCACATACACCCAATCTCTTGAAGAAAAGCAATTCTCAAGTTCACCCTTCATTATTTTCCTTATGTTTTCATGTAACATATGTACCATTATTTAATACACAATTTTTCTTTCATTTTTTTTTTCATTTTTTTCCCCCCCCAATATATTTTTCTCTTCAAATCTGACCCCAATAATGTACCTGCGCACTATACTCGCAAATTTACGGTATATACATTAATATTATAGAAGCCTCTTTTTCAAAAGAGAGAATTAATATAAAACAGGTATGGAATGGTTTCGTACTGCAACATTCAAGCTTAAAAAGAAATACGTGGATCTCACTTTTGCCTCTGCCTTTTTCTTCAAGACAATGGGGGCATTATATCACAAATGTACAAATTATGACACACAAGTTTTATAACACATATCCCTTATAATCTAACATACACAGTCAGGTGAACAATCATATATACATACAGTGTTTCCATAATTTGTCAATTATATATAAATTACAAAGATAACTTAATAAATAACTTTTCATGTTCTAATATTGCTATTAAACATGCCAGATTTCACGGTGTGAGGCAAAATCTCACGGATTTTCACCTCTGATAAAGTCTCACAGCGTGGGACACAAATTTATAAGGGAAAGTCCTCAAAACCTCACAGTTTTAATGATCGATCTGTACACCATTTTCTTGTTGTTGTTTACTCAAAGTATTACGAGATTCAACAATGTTTTCAGCGATAAATCACGAGAGCTCTAGTAACTAGTTATGTACTTTATATTGAAGAAAACCTACAAAATTCTATATTCATTTCTATAAGGGTATCCATACTTTGGTAGTAAGTATCGCTTTGCCCTATTCCGACAAATACATAGACCACATTGACCTTTCGTGCTGACCTCTGATTATCATATTTATTAAAGGCTAGTAAATATTTATATATATATTAGATGATATACGTTTTCCCTACATACTAATTGTTTGGATGATAATCATGTGGAGGTCGGTAAGTGTAGTATTAACTCAGTCACCCCTGAAATTTCATAATGAACTATTCCATCGTTTGAATTGGAAAAGTTCAAATGTGTATTTAGGGGTGAATGAGTTAACTATAAAGTGTTACTATTTTTTAGAAACAGCGGTCAATATTCGTTTTTATGACGTCATTTCAATTGTAACCCTGAAAAAGTCCTTAGTGTGAAGCTTGTCAGGATGCTTAAGTTCATCTTGTCCGATGTTTCCTGTTCCTCTTGCGATAATAGGATTTGTTTATGGTTTTAATGGTCTAACAACACAATAAGGAGTCAGGGCCATTACATGGTAAATAAGTAATGTGGTTGGTGAACAAGGGAGGTAACTTCAGAAAAGCAAGCAGCAGCCTCTATGTAATGGTCCTATACTTAATCTGCTACCTAACACACTGACAGACATCCCACAATCACACTTGTCCTGAACACGTCAAAAAATGTCACCGTATTTGCTATATTTAGCACCAAGGACACATGAAAAATTGGATAAAGGGGCACTTATTAAGATAACACTGGAAAAACAGTCGTGTCAGATTGCGACACATAAAAATTGGCTGATAGGAGCACTTATTAAGATAACAAAACATATATTATCAAAATGCTGTAAAGGTAATTTAAGGTAATCCAAAATTATTCATGGTTTTATCTCTTTCAAACACTGGAAAACAGTCGTGTCAGATTGCGAGATTGTATGTAGCGACTGATATAATGTATGAAATTATATATTCTGTTAACCAGATAGGGCTACAATGGAAAGTGTTTGGGAAAAGGGGAGGCTTATACCTGTCAATAAGTGCTATAAAAAGGGGAGGCATGCTAAGAATGGGAGAGGGCGCTAATTACGGCGAATACGGTATGTTATTAACAACACATTTCTACACACACACTCTACAATTCATACATATAATAATTTATCATACATATTACATGATATATGGGATGAAGATTAATTGATATAATAATGGAACTGTTTAACGTTAAGCCTGCACCAAGTGTATATCGGCCATATTTTCATCACAGGACAATAGTGATCTACCTGTTAATGTTAATTTATTTTCAAGACCAGAAATGTTTCTATTTATCTATCTTAGAAACTTCCATCACTTAAAACAATGTCCTTTCAACATCTCACAAAATGATAATGAAAAGACCAGAAAAATGAACAATAAACTGTTTTTGGTGTTAGCTCTTTTTCTCTAATTTTTTCAACATAAGTGACTGCCTAAACATATGCTCCGTCATATTTTTATCACACAGACAAAAAAACAAACAAAGGGGAAGTTCAGGCTTATCCAATCGACATGTGCAACTTTGACCATGGACTTGGATCCCTTTTTGGAAGTCCAAACTAAATTTGATAATGCCAGCAATTCAAACTACTACCAGTCTAAAAGCACACTAAATGCGAAAAAACAAAATAGACCAAGTGACCATCCTCTATACTTCTGTGGTTATGCTCACTTTCGCTTTGTGCCCCCCTGGAATATGTCATAGCCAAATTGAAGGCACGCGGCTAACTATTTGATTGGTCTCATGTACGTTAAAAACATCCTGGCCAATTAATTGCAGACTTGATAACTGTCCTTTGAAGATTACAGAGGAGCAACAACTGATTTCAAAGCCAGTAAATTTTACCGNATTGCAGACTTGATAACTGTCCTTTGAAGATTACAGAGGAGCAACACCTGACTTCAAAGCCAGTAAATTTTACCGTTACACGACTGCGAGATTCTTTTGATGTACATCAAAGGATCAAACCAGTCTCCTTGTCTCATCCACAAGGTGACGCCCACTGAGCCTTCGATTTTGCTATGACATATTCCATGGATGCAGAAAGCGAAAGTGAGCGTAACCCGGGGGGTATCGAGGCTGCCAAGTGACCGACTTCTATATTCACTTTTTCAGCAGCACCAGGATCATATATCACTCTTATAACTACAATTTCTGTACCAGTAACATTTTCTTAAGGTGCACGTAAATTGTAATGTATGCATAGTTTGAGTTACTTAGAAGTCAACCTACTTGGTTCACACACTTTACTTGTGGTGCTGAAATTTCTTTCCACTACATCGACAAACTATTTTTCAAGCTAAATGCAACAAGCAAAAATCTGTATATGATCCTGGCAAGAAAAAAAATCCCACAGTAATCTCATGTCCCCTAACAGTATGAAATAAATATGAAGCAGTATAGGTAAATAATGTTATCAACCCCAATATGTAGTTCTTTTTAAATAATTACATATCTATTTACATAATATAATGCCATATGACTAGCTAAACAGTCCTTTCATTTATCCCTCATAAATAGTTCCACATGTTTGAATACAAGTTTATATCCTCATACCGGTAACATACTGCAAAAAAAACCAACACATTTTGTGGTACCTAAATTTTTTTTCGGATTCGTAGGATCTATTTTTTGCAAATTTTAGGTCCAGTGAACAAGAACCGTAATGTAAGAAAAAGGATGGATAAATTCATTTGCTTTTAATTTTGCAGGATGTAATTATTGCGGAAATGTTGTTAATACAGTAACGATGAATATATAAACCCTACAAAAAGTCCAACTTTTACAGTATACTTTATACTAGGAAATTTTGTCACAGATATTGTAAAAATGGAAAATTTATCCTGACCGTTATCATGAACATAAATCTGATTAGAAAATAAGATATCAAGTTTGATGATTAAAATATATTGGAAGGGAGAAATAACACTGGTTAAATATTGATTTTTTTGAAAGGGTGAATGTATATCTTGCTTTGTAAGTTAGTTATAAATAAATAATGTGCAAGTTACACACAAAAGACAGTACAATTGTATTGATAGAAATATGCCTATTTTCTTTGAAAAGGATATTAAATTTAAATACTGGTAAGAGATCCCTACTCAATAACATACATCTACAACTGGATTACTTCCCTTGTTTTGTAAAAGCATATATTACCGTAATTATTCTGTCAAATCATATTCAAATTTTCTGTGCCATAAATCACTTACATTTATATAAATAAACCATTATTTTACAATCAATTTTAAGAACCAACATGACAACTGAATGATAATTACTACAACAGATTCATTTTCACAACTTTTACACCTAAATGATCCAGGAGTCGGGTTTTTTAGTTAAAGGGAGATAATCTGAATGTTACACATTGCCCTCATGGATTTCTTATATAATAAGTAAAACATGTGTCAAATACCCTCTACAGACAACATCTAAATATTACAATCCAACACATCACAGCACATTTACAGTAAATCATATCAGGCGTAGTTATGTAATATGCATACACGAGTTTCTTGACATCATTTAACATTAAAGATATGACATAATCGGGAACTGTCGGCACTTTCCATGAACAGGGAAATATTTTTCTTGTTTACAGAAAGCGCCGATTGTTCCCATTTGAGATATGACACAGCAGAATGAGTCCTCACATTGGTTTTAACTGTTATAGCCACAGAAATACATTTTTCCTCTCCAGAAAAAAATCCTTGCATATCAACAGGTAACACAATATAACATCTGCAATTATTACCTATATCACAGGTTTCTGGCCTAACCAAGGACCCGTTCCTTTATGCCAACTAATTTTTTTTTTTTTTTTAATGTGAAGTTTTAGGGGTAAATCCTTACAGACCTGCAAATACTAATGCAGGACTTGAACAACAGCAAATCACTAGGTCCTTCCCTATTTCTGTAATGATACCCGATCCCTGATTGATTGATTGTAAGAGGTTTTATGTCACCAACGAGGTTAGACCATTTGACCATGGGCATCTAAAGACACACAATATAATAACAGTAACAAGGTCAAGAAACAGATAAACGTCCCAAAAATTGTAATGGGGGCAGCAGAAAGTTCTAGGGCCTGTTCGTTTATGTGGAACAAACGGTTTGTCTGTTTTTAAATGTAATATTTCGAGTATTAATACTAGCAGACTAACAAAATGGAGTAGGAGGAAGCTGTAACAATGTAGTGTGTGGTCAAATTCAACTCTCAGTTTTTCTTTCTTTTCAAAGTCATTTATCCCTGTATTTCTTTGGGGTCTGCATTGATTTATGAAGGATTTCAGCTAAATAGTAACTTCCAGGGGAGAACTATGACTTATCACAAGTTGTGTAGACAGTCACTGCTTGAATAGCATTCATCTAATATTAATATCAGATCTAGAATAAATGCTGTGTATCTCTGATAAGTCAAAATTGGAAGATATTTTGTAACGGATGACAAGTTAATACTGTAGTACAGTCGAACCTGCTCAAGTGAACACCTGTCTAAAGCGACCATTTTGGATTGCTCTAGACTGTTTTTACTATACTTCTTATAAAAGCTAACTGTTAAAAGCGACCACCTATCTAAAGTGACCAGGGTTCTGACCGCCAAAAATATGTTAATCGACCACTTTTACAAAATTCTATATAACTCTCAAATCTTAACATTAGTTCTTTAAAAAAAAAGAAAAATATTCAATAACTAATTTTAAATCATAATATTATCAACGAGGATTAACAAAATTTCAGCCAATTCTTATGAGATTTTCAATGTTAATTAGTTACCAAAAGAAGACTTACTGACTTGTCTTTCAATGTAATTCTGGGGCACAAATTGGACACATGACTACACGTGACATATATGTGTCCGGAGAAATCCACTCAACGACAAATGGCAGATGACTTAAAAAAAGGCTGATTTTTTCATTAGATACGGTAAGTGTACAAAGAGATATGTCATTCTGGCTCACTGTCTTTCATATAACAAAACAATTACTTCATAATGTACTTGTTTCATGACAAAGATGATCACATTTTGCTAAATATAAGTATGTCCCCCAAATGATTTGTATGGTATGATAAACACACATATATATATATACATGTGTATATGATTAATGTTACATTTTGAAGTGCCCCGTGTCTAGTGGGGCCTACTTGTGCTATACACTATAGCGCCCTCTGGTGAAGCGGTCCTGGCCGGCACAGTATTCGTTGTATATTAGTTTACACAGGAACAAATGGAACACAACGACGAGGAATGCAATGGACGCCCAGAATATGGTGGGCAGACCTCCAAAGTGATGGCCGTGCTTGTGGAGAGCGATCACATGGTGTTCATGGGCTGGTGCTGCAAAACACAAACACATAACTGTAGCCTTCGACCCTTTAATTAATATTAGTAAATTAACTCATTCACCCCTGAAGTTTCATAATGAACTATTCCAACCTTCGATTTGGAAGAGTGCAAATGTGTCTTCAGGGGTGAATGAGTTAACAACACAAAACTTTAGCCAGAAGGCAAAGAATTTCAAATTCTAATTGTAACAGGTTTTTTTTACAGTAGTAACAACATAATACATTGTATATATCCACATGCCAAATTTGACTGCAATCGGTCAATGTCTAAATTTTGACCAATCAGAGGCCATGCCATGGTGGCTATCTTGGATTTGCAGTGGCAAAAAACAAAGAAAAAAAAGTGTCTTGCCCACCAATGCATGCCTACCAATATTTAAGCCAAAGTTCATTTTAATATGACTTGCAGTTTTTGAAAAAAACATGCAGACAAGTTTGTGGTGGGGTAAGAGGAAGAACAGGGTAAAACAATAAGTCCACAAACTTGGTTTTTGGGACTTAAATATCCATAAATTAGCATAAGCAATGTATCGCAGTATATTCAATTGTACAAAAAGTTAGATCTACAACCATCTGAAACAGGATGACATTGCCATTCCTTCCATATTCCTTCTTGTGTATATATATATACCTTTCTAAAACTGCAATCGGCAACATACTTATTTTTTTACACTTGAAATTTTAAGTCAATACATTAAAGCAAATATTCTGAACTTTTATCAACTTCCACGACAATATGAATCTTGTTTTATACCAGCAAAAGACACTTTAAGGTGAAATTAAGTAGTTTATGCACTGTATAGGCTACTTCTGTATCATAATATTATCTTTTAGTGTTAAAACAAGGTTAAATATCAACTTTATAGATAATGTTACGACTCCTTTAATGAATGATATTCAAATCTTTATGTCCTATGTCATTTTAAGTACAACAACAAAAGTAAACAAGACAATATAATGTGAGCAATCTAATACACATTCACCAAACTCTGGACAAACTTCAGGATCAACAAGCCCATTCGGATTAATATGTCTTGCCTGTGGCCCGCTTTGACCATCGATGCACATGTCAAGTTTGGTTCGTCTAGCAGTTAATAGTTTCAGAGAAACTAACTTAAACGCAAAAACTTAATGTTGATGGAGATGCTGACAAAGCCACAATGGACCAGGAAAGATAGGCCGCATCCAGCATTTGATGCATGGGTAAAGATGTACTACCTAAGATGCATCTATGGTCCAAGTTTGGTTGGTCTAGCACTAACTTTTTCACTGAAACTAAGTTAAACAGAAAACCTGAATGTTGACGTTGCTGCCGTCACCGGAAAAGCAACACCTTAGTCTCGCTTCCACTACTTTGTGCTAGCGAGACAAAAATGAATGCAGGGCAATATCTGAAGAAGCCCAAGGCAGCAGAAAGGCTAACGGTCAGTCTTGTGAACTTGTTGTTTTATTTGATATTTTCCTTCTCAAGAACTTTTTTCTTTGTTATCTACTGTATATATTATTATACTAAACCGTATTATGTTCTCATGGTCTGATATATATGAAAGCGCTAATGCTTTACAGATCTTCATGTTTCTGATTTTTAACTTTTCACATATATATATATATATTAATTGGATAACAGACCCAATTTGAGTTCATGTACTTGACACATACAAAATTCAGCAACGTTAGAAAACAGAGTACATAGGTGAGTCATGAATATATACAGGCTGTTTTTTTTATGGCCGAATATGGGCCAATTCCTCTCTCCAATTTTGGCATTATTTTCCCCCTTTTCACCTTTATTTGCCCCGATTTCATTTTAAAATGTCCCAACATGTTACTTACATGGATATCTGTCTAGGTTCCATCTTGTTTTTATTTTCAATCAGTTTCCTGACTGTCATAGCTAAGTGATTTATTTCATTTCCCTGTATTTATGTTAATTGTCACTGCTGATATTTTACGACACTGTTTACAGCTAGCCCTGTTTTGGTATACAATATCATAACAGTCACACAAACACTTTATTCGAATGCAGATAAGGTGGTCTATTCGAAGCGTCTACAATGAACAACAAGAAACAACAAGAGTACCGCGGGGCGGAACAATATATGCCCGTCGAATGCCATATAGTGTTATGTACTTTCTTACATTGAAATAAGATCTGCATCATTCTAAGAGTGGTTAGCTGACATGCGATAAAAAATGTAGGAGAAAATCTCCGGCCAAAAAAGCGAATACTGAAATGACTAAAGGGCAATAACTTTTGCAAAAATGGTTGAATCAAAATTCTTTTAAAACAGACACAACTTCATATCATGATTATAATGTATACCAAGTTTCAAAGAGATCCATTGAAAAATGTAGGAGGAGATTGCCGGACAAAAATCAAATACTGAAATAAACAAAGGGCAATAACATTTTTTGAAAAATTGCCGAATCATAATTCTTTTAAGGGAGACACATCTTTATATCATGATTACAATGTATACCAAGTGTCAAAGAGATCAGTCGTGAAATGTAAGAGGAGATTGCCGGACAAACAAATTTACGCCGGATGGACAACGCCATAGCATAATACTTCCGTCAAATTTGACAGGCGTATACAAATAAGAGATGTCATCCCTTCTTGTAAAAAGGGTACTAACTTTCTATTCTTGCCTTAAACCCCGATGAGATATGTCCCTGACAAAGTGACACACTGGCTGACGTATTTCAAACTTCTAGTTTCCTTCAGCCGTGGTGTACTAATAAACAATAAATTTACCATATCGATATAAACTGAGGGTACAATGGAGTACTTACCTTCCACAATGTTTTCAACGTGAATGGCGTGTTTGAGCTCCTCCATGTGAATTTTGTCGGCCGTGATGTACAAGATGGATGTCAGTGGCTTCGTCTGCTTCACAGGGAACTGCTTCAGTTCCTTACTGAAAAGTTACCAGTCAACGTTTGTTGGTGAATTGATAGCATTAAATACCTACAGAAGTGTCTGAGTGTCAAATATTGTAAAAGTGTTTCATTTTATTTCAATGATAAAACTTAAGTATTTGTACCGAATTTGTTCTATTTTCACAGAATATATAAAATATGTTCAGTGGAGTTTGTTCTATATTCATTNTTAAATACCTACAGAAGTATCAGTGTTGGTGAATTGATAGCATTAATACCTACAGAAGTATCAGNAATATATAAAATATGTTCAGTGGAGTTTGTTCTATATTCATTATTATCATATATTATAAATTGATCAATTGAATTTTTTGTTCCCCCCCCCCCATTATATTTAATTTTACACTAAACAAGTACTGTAAAATCATAAATTTTCGTGGGGCATTAAATTTCGTTTATTTCGTGGATAACAAAAATCCACGAAATTAAATCCCTACGAAAACATTAATTTGGTATAATATAGTTAGGGGGAAATCAGAAATCAGCGAAATATAATGTCCATGAAACAGGCTAGTATATGAAAACTACGAAATTTCAACCCCACGACAATAAATGATTCTACAGTACTCTTATTCTCATTAATAAATTTGTAATTTTCATTTTTTTTTGAAAACTGTGACAAATTGAGATTTAATTTTAACACAATCTTCATCTCAGGTGTTTTTATCCTCCATCTCAAAAGAGCAAAACATTATCAAGTACTTGGCTTTGTGAATTGCTTTGCATAAGGGAAATTGATACAGAACAAAAATGACTTAATACACAGCATGAGTCTCCACCAATTACTTCAAACTTAATGTACTGAATCAACAAACCTTCCCTTAGTTTAAATATTTGTTATTTGATATGATCAAAAAAAAAAAATGGCACACTTTTCCAATCGGTAAGTGTCCCTAAACGGGCCTAAAAAGTACCCTGATAAACCCTGTGATCTTTTCCATACGACACCTGTGCATGGTTAATTCACCTGATACCATTAAAACAAGAAGTGGTACACGTAACATGGACACTTTAATGTTCTATTTATAGTAATGATGACCTTGACCTTTACCTGAGGGCAGCAGGGGCATCAATGCAGCCAGCGTCGCAGGCGTAGTACGGCCGGTCATTACGATCTAGGGCCACAAAGATATTAGCCCTGTTGTCCTCTCCTACTATCACAGATACATTTACGTGGGTGTTATTTCCGTAGTTGATTCTGTGGAAAAACAGATCCCGATGAAGGTCCTTAGGCTCCATTGCAAATTCAAGGTGATCGTTGGCAAACCTGAATGCTCCCAGACTCAGTACCATAGCTTGTATGACACCCTCGGCACCTGGAATAATAACAGGCATGTATTTATATTAAAATTTTCTGAACAATTTGTATTTTGTTTTCAAATCATTAAAGTACTAAAATTATAGAAATGATGAAAAAAAGTCAGTTTTTAAACCAAGCCATTTGGATTGATATGTCACGCTAGTGCCCTGCTTTGACCATCAATGCACATACGGTACACACAATTTGTTTTCGAATCATTAATCCTGAAATTAGAGAAATGATGAAAAAAAGTCAGTTTTTAAACCAAGCCATTCGGATTGATATGTCTCACTAGTACCCTGCTTTGACCATCAATGCACATACATACAATTTGTTTTCAAATCATTAATCCTGAAATTATAGAAATGATGACAAAAAGTCAGTTTTTAAAACAAGCCATTCGGATTGATATGTCTCGCTAGTACCCTGCTTTGACCATCAATGCACATACATACAATTTGTTTTCAAATCATTAATCCCGAAATTATAGAAATGATGAAAAAAAGAAAGTTTTAAAAACAAGCCATTCGGATTGATATGTCTCGCTAGTACCCTGCTTTGACCATCAATGCACAAACATACAATTTGTTTTCAAATCATTTATCCTGAAATTAGAGAAATGATAAAAAAAAAATCAGTTTTTAAAACAAGCCATTCGGATTGATATGTCTTTCCTGTGCCCTGCTTTGACCATCAATGCACATACGGTACACACAATTTGTTTTCGAATCATTTATCCTGAAATTAGAGAAATGATGGAAAAAAGTCAGTTTTTAAAACAAGCCATTCGGATTGATATGTCTCGCCTGTGACCCGCTTTGACCATCACTGCACATACACATACATGTCAAGTTTGTTTGGTCTAGCACTTAGCACTTTAGTGAAACTAACTTTTAAAAATGCAAAAACTTAATGTTGATGCAGATACTGACAAAGTCAATGGACCATGATCTGTAGGCAGCATCCAGCATATGATACATGGGTTGAGATGTTCTACTGAACAGACATGTTTTTCTCTGAATTTTAAGCTGTTTGAATATTACACTCCCAATGAAAACACAAAATAGTGAACGCTGCACAAATTTAAATCTGTATACAATATTACCTGCTTTCACCATGACAGAGCAGCCTTGTTTCTCCAAGGTGATCATCCACGTGGTGGTTACCCTGGCGATGTCATCCTCATCCGACATGTCCACCCACAGGGTGTTAGCATGGCTGTAGGGGAGATAATTCAAAATGGTTAAAATGGCATGTACAGTACACAAGTTTTCCATAAAGTACTTCTGCACACATACAGCATTGAATGGCCTCCATTTGTGGCCACATAGCTAGCACAGTAGCTAGTGAGCCAGTCAACTTTGATGAAATGTAGTTTTGTCCTTAACCCTTTCAACCCTATGTAACTTTAGTAGACTCTGCAGCCATGCATTGATCTGGACGAGTGCATTATGGTCTACAGTGGTGAAAGGGTTAAGCAAGAGATTTGACCTTTTAAGGCTGTACCCACATATTCCCCTGATTGTGTTGAGTATGCATATCTTTCATCCCTAATGAGAAGTTTTCTTGATATAAGAAATAGGGCATTGCACAAATGTATGATAATAATAACACATACCGTATCCTTATTCAATGCAACTGGTGCCTTACGGTACCTTTTTAACGGCACCTTTTCCTTTTTGGGCACTTATTGAGAAGATATAAGCACCCCTTTTCCTGAACAGCCTCCATACTGGCCCTCTGTACTTACATAGAGTATAGTATACTTCAGTCTCATGATGTTACAAAACTCTTCCTCAGAAAAAGAGTGAACGGTTTTGGAATTCTGCCAAGGAATATGCCCCGACTGGTATGTCAATTTCACAGCATTTTAATGCCACAATTGATGTTTTCCTCATATAAAGCAAATTTTTCAATAATTACAGCAAATACAGTACGACTGTATTGTTGAGGGAGTGAAATACTCACAGTGTTGAATGTCCTCCGTAACACCTGTCAGGGTAGTGGAGAGTGCGGTAGATCTCGGTACGCTCTTTCAGTGTCGAGGTGACGCTGTGGAGGGGTGCTGGGATGTTACTCATCACGTAATACATCGTGGAGTTGATCTTGTCCCCGTTTAAGGCCCCGCTGGCCTTAGAGTAACTGATCCCAAACCCACTCTGCCATAGCTGTAACACAAATCACCATGTACAACAGTAGGAAACCTATCACCATGTACAACAGTAGGAAACCTATCACAATGTGCAACAGTAGGAAACATATCACAATGTACAACAGTAGGAAACATATCCCCATGTACAAACGTAGGAAACCTATCACCACGTAAAACAGTAGGAAACCTATCACCATATGCAACAGTAGGAAACCTATCGCCATGTACAACAGTAAGAAACCCATCACCATGCACAACAGTAGGAAACCTATCAACATGTGCAACAGTAGGAAACCTATCACAATGTGCAACAGTAGGAAACCTATCACCACGTACAACAGTAAGAAACCCATCACCATGCACAACAGTAGGAAACCTATCACCATATGCAACAGTAGGAAACCTATCACAATGTGCAACAGTAGGAAACATCTCACCATGTACAACAGTAGTAAACCTATCACCACGTACAACAGTAAGAAACCCATCACCATGCACAACAGTAGGAAACCTATCACCATATGCAACAGTAGGAAACCTATCACAATGTGCAACAGTAGGAAACATCTCACCATGTACAACAGTAAGAAACCTATCACCACGTACAACAGTAAGAAACCCATCACCATGCACAACAGTAGGAAACCTATCACCACGTACAACAGTAGGAAACCTATCCCTACTGTCACCATTTTATCAACAATATACTTTCGGCTCCGACACGCAAAAAACTTTCCACATGCAACAGTTTCCAAGTTCATTCCAAACGATTGCATGCAATGGTGTCTGCACAAAGGGTATGTAAAACAGGAGGAATCAATTAGCTCATTCACCCCTGCAATTTCATAATGAACTATTCCAACCTTTGAATTGGAAGAGTTCAAATGTGTCTTTAGGGGTGAACAAGTTTAATATGAATTTCGTTTATATAAGAAACTGAGATGGGAGTTCACATAGACATACTCCCACCCCACTATTCTATGCACACAAGGATTTTACTTGAAAAGCGGCCAAGTATGACCTTGACCCTTGAATGATGACCACAGACCACCAAATCTGAAGTAAATGCTACCATATACTTTGGTGTAAATATAACTTAGATCTGTTTTGAGTGGTTCATGGCATATTTTGTACACAAGCTTCATAGGTGACCATTAACCCCTTAACCTTGACCAATGACTTCCAAACTCTCACCAGATGTAATCATTCTATGGTGTAAAAAGAAACTAAACAGGTTCATGAAATACCTTGTGCACAAACTTTTTATGATGGATAGAGGAATTTCATTCATGACTAAGAAGTGACTATATCCCTCTACCTTTACTAAGTGGGAGGTATATTTTAGTATAGCGCAACTAAACGGTCGTGTAACTATATATTATAGTTACCGTATTTATCCTGCAATAAGCCCAGGCGGCCAACACATAATCTCTGACTGAAAGTATTGGATGGGTTTATAACAGGGCAATGAGGAAGCATTTGTTGGCATTTCTACGGAATTGTAATAGATATGGGTGGGCTTATTATCAGACATGGACTTATTGGCAGATATATACAGTAAGTATTGGACAGAACTGATCCACTCACGGACATATTGCATTGATTTGAGTTACCTAAAGGGTTCAACTGTGTTGTTCACCGACACATTTATTGACACGAATTCACGAACACTTACCTAAAAAAAAAGTTCACTAACCTTGTTCCAGACATGGATGTGTTCATCCCTTAGGACTTTGGTGTCTATCTTCAACACTTCCAACATATCCTGAAGCAACAAAGTAAATATAAATATTTCTGAAAAGGATTTGCTATATCTCATCTGATGCTTATCTGATACAACTCCAACAACCCAGGTGGGGTATAAGTTGGTCTGGGGTGGATGTTGTGGTATCTGTGCTGTAGCATTCAAGTGAGGTGGCACAATAAATGATGCCGTTGGAAGCATGGTCCCACTACAAACAGAACAATTTACATCTCCAACACACACACAGGCATACACACATAGGGAGATATTAGCCAGGTGGCATAGGACGAGTAGTTAGCGCCTGATAAGGCAGCTCCTGCGAATTCCTCAAAATTGTATTGATTCATGTATTTGCTAATTGTATAAATTGTATATCTATGTACTGTAAAGCGCTAAAGAGTGGCTTATGTTAGGTAAATAGGATGCTATATCAAATGTTGATATTATTATTATTAATATTATTATCTATGAGGGCATTTTTAGTACAGAGCTTAATATTACACATATCAATCTCCACTGTGAAGAGTGAAGTTTCCTGTTGTATGGTACTTTTTTTTTTTGCTTCAAAGTAAAATATTATAGCACATCATCAGGTGACAAGATATCTATTCTCATTCTTCATTCAAGTATAATCTGCAGGATTTGACAGCAATGTCCTGGAATTGGCTTAACCCTTTCATTCCTACGTTACTTGAATAGACTCTACCATGCATTGATCTGGATGTGCCCATTCTGGTCTACAGAAGTGAAAGGGTTAAGCCCTAATGTATAACATGAAATGTTCTGGGTACTTTCCTTTGTGATTTGAAGCTATTTGGTACAAAAGTTTCCTATGTGTAGGTACTCCATCTAAGCAAACAGTAGTCAAGTATATCAATTTATCAAAACTGTCATATACATGTATATAGTTTGATAACAAACAATGGTATATCTAGTCTAAGCTTGTACATATTCAGAAACTAATCTGTAGTCATTATCTTATTAACACTGTGTTTCACAGATGGATTGACCTTTTTCTATATGTAAATTTTTTCAAGAATATAGCTAACAATCTAGTCAGTACTATTGCTGGAAACAAAGGTTTGATTTGTTTGTGTTTTACATCCTATAAACAGCTATGGTCATTTAAGGACATGCCAGGTTTTGGTGGAGGAGGAAAACCGCATGCCCGGGAAAAAAACCACCGACCTGCGGCCAGTAGCCTGGAAGCTGAGACCCAGTGGTGGAGGGCTAGTGATCATAGACGGTCAGATGCCTCAACTACTTGGCCACGGCTGCCCCTTGAAATAAAGGTTGCTTGTATCTAGTCTTAATAAGATAATGACAGCCGAGTAGTTTCTGAATATGTGCATCTATGACCAAGTATTAAACAAAGCGCAGCTGAATCGAGTCATTTCGGTACAAACATGTATATAACAACTAAGTGTACATACGCCTAGCTGAATCGACATCGATTTGTGGACAACTCGTACACATTTTACACCTTTGTGTGCATACGCTTCACTGGTCATTTGTCTGATGAAAGTGATAGAGTACCTACCGTACTAGTCATCGAAACGTCACATAGAAACACTTATTGGTTGTGTTACAAGAATCTTTTCCTAATCCATACTTACCAACCTGAAGAAAGTGTTAAGAAACAGATATACCATTGTTTGTTTATAGCAAAATATGTGACAATTTTGATGAATTTAAATATGTATACATTAAACTTTTGAATATTCAAGTTTTATTTTAAAACCAACAGCCCTAGCTACCTTGTCCACTTTTTCCTGTAGGTCCTTGAAGAAAGCGCTTGGATCCCTCGTACTCTTCGGCATTGGGGCTGTATAGTGCACCACAGTCACAATGTGTAACAGTTTGGTCCTGCAGGTACAACACATACGCTCAATGTTAAAAATGTCATGTTTTCACAAGATAAAATTACCAAAGCAATACTTACACAAATGAATGACTAATGGTCTTTCTCATTTATGTAATTTAAACAATCGACAAAACAAGAATACGAACAATCATTACAAAAAATCTGGCAGCACATCAATTAATATGTATATTTATTAACAAATTCTTAACAGCGTATTCTGCCGAGGTATGTATTACATACATCCTGAGACATACATGAATTTGAAAGAAAACATTTGGTCAGAGTACACCTATTTCCATTGTTCCTGCCAGTCAGGCATTTGAGAAAAATTTCCAGAATTTGCACATTAGAACATGACCGAACCAATTCGCCTTTTTTTTTTAATTCACACACTGCTCTAGATGCTCTGAACACCCCCCAAAAAACTAAAATCAAGTAAGTCCAAGCAGAGACAAAGAGCAATGGCTTTTTGTTGACTCTTAACATTAAAAAGCTTCAGAAATTAAATAACATTTTCATTGAAATTTGGAGGGTAAAAAAGACATGAACCTTCGAACCAAAGTGTCAAAGGTCAATTTTGGGGAGTCAAAAACATACTTTCATGGGTCAACTGAAAGCCCAAGACAGTTAATTTATCTACTATGAATTTGAACTGTTTGCTTGAATCAGCTCTCAAGAAGTTTCAAGAATGTTTAATTGATGAAAAATTTGAAACATACTTTCCTGCCTTGATTTTGATGAACTTTTCTGGTAGTTTAACTGTTGCCACGGTGACATATGAGACGTAGCCAGCCTCCTGGCTGCTGACCTCTCCAGAGGTCAAACTGTACTGGACATCTTCCCCTATGCTGTTCTTAGCACTGAAGGACAAAACAGATCATTACCAATATAATTTCATTAATTTAAAATACATAAATTCAAAAATGACAAAACAAATGTGTTAGAAAGTGTTTAATTGTGTCCTTGTCACTTTTTCTAATTAAAAATGTCTAATCACCAAAACATAATTCAAGTAAAATTATTTACTTTTCATGTAGGGATCAGTATCACAGGTATTCCATTATGTTTGTAAGTGTTTAGTAATGAAAACAAATCTTTAATGATCATATTTTCTCCCATCCTCGATACTCCAGGGGTTACGCTCACTTACGCTCTCTGCACCCCTAGAATATGTCATAGCAGAATTGAAACACACAAAGATAACTATTTGATTGGACTCCGGTAAAAATACCTGACCAATCGCCAGGCTGATAGGTCCTGTCCTTTGAAGATTAGAGAGGAGCGACATCCTACTCCAAAGCCAGTCCATGTTTACCGATACACGGCGACAGATTCTTTTGATGTTGTTTACATCAAAGAGCAACCTAGTCTTCTTGTCCCATCCACAAGTCACTCACACTGAACCCTCAATTTTTTCATGACACATTCCAGGGATGCAGAGAGCGTAAGTGAGCGTAACCCCTGGAGTAGCAAGATTTTTTCTCCAGTCCTATAATGTACCAGGGAAAATATGGACAGAACTATTAATTACCTTTTCAGAGTAGAAGTTGAACCCTTCCATCCTGAATCTCCGACCTGGTCCAAGTCTACAACCACCTGGTTTTTCTAAAAAAATTTTTTTTTAAACTTTAAACACTGCTGATCATATTTGAATACAAATTTTAACATTTTGTTTAGCAGGCTTTCAATATAAATGCATTACCTCAGCTAAATAAAGTAATGATCAAGATTATTGGATTAAAGATTTATTAGTTTGAATCCCAAGCTTCAGGCCTCTGTACAGCAGCCGATACATAAATATGTAATACATCCGCAAACACTTGAGACAAAAGTGTTTGTGAAGTCAACTTTATAATGTTATAATAAAAGAAATTGTTTGAATAGTTATGCAGGGCTAGACAATAAGGGTAGCCCGATAGTCTGAGACTAGTGAAATCTCCAGCTGGACTAGTGCAGGGCTAGACAATAAGGGTAGCCCGATAGTCTGAGACTAGTGAAATCTCCAGCTGGACTAGTGCAGGGCTAGACAATAAGGGTAGCCCGATAGTCTGAGACTAGTGAAATCTCCAGCTGGACTAGTGCAGGGCTAGACAATAAGGGTAGCCCGATAGTCTGAGACTAGTGAAATCTCCAGCTGGACTAGTGCAGGGCTAGACAATAAGGGTAGCCTGATAGTCTGTGACTAGTGAAATCACCAGCTGAACTAGTGCAGGGCTAGACAATAAGGGTGGCCTGATAGTCTGAGACTAGTGATATCTCCAGCTGGACTTATGGACCTAAAAACTACTTGCCTGATTAACCAGTAAAAATTTGATATAACTTACCATGTCAAATAATATTAGGTTTTTGGAATTTGCACATGGACTAGTATCACTGCAAACTACTAGCCCGGCTGATTAATGGTCTTTAAAATTAATTTCTAGACGTTCTTATGTATGTAATGTCTAGTGAGATGATCTTTATCTACACAGTCTAAAATTATTTGTACATGTGTGTTAGAGAGTTTTAGTGAACACTTACACTTGGGTTAGAGAGTTTTAGTGAATACCTACACTTGGGTTAGAAAGTTTTAGTCAATACCTACACTTGGGTTTGAGAGTTTAAGTAAATACCTACACTTGGGTTGGAAATTTTGATATCCTGCACAAGTACTGATGGCCTTGACCTGTGGGCATACAACTGTGTTCCAATAGAGACGCAGGAACCTGTCCATCCTGAATCCTGAGGACGAAAAAAATAAAAATTATATTCATTATATTGTGACTTAGGGAGCCTACTATGCTTGTTGTAAGACAGGATATTCAAAAATCTTCAACTTAATACTGAAAGTAAAACTGGGCCATTTGTAAATAGTGAAGCATCATTAATGCAACATGCCAACTTTAAAGTTCAGAAAAAGAATACACTTACAACATGGATTGTCTGTATCCGATAGGCTATTCCAGACTTGATGTGTAACGCTGTCACTTCTGAAAAAAGTTTGAATCAAATAGAATAAAAGCTTTTAATTTTTTTCCTAACCGTTTCCGAAAATTACATGAATACAATTAATTTTTATGATAATATTTTTCGGACAAACACGATTGTTACAAACTTTTAAATACCTTTCACAGATGAATGTGTATTTTCCATAAAGGCAGACACAACGGGGTAGAACTTGACTGGGAGGGAAAGCGCCCTGTTGAGGCGCACAAACAACCCGTTGGCGCTGCCCAGGGCAGCGGCCACGTGGCCATTGCCCACGTAGGCTGGATATTGACGGTCTGCTCCAGACCCTCCGGGGCTGTTCACAAAGGCATCAAAACTCTGAGTAGCTTTACGGAAATATCGGACCTTATCCTCTACGCAACTGTCCAGAACATCTACAAAAGGACATAATGATATACTCATTTTTATAATTTGATAATTTGGTATGTATAATAGATATATCTATAAAAAAGATCTCAAACAAGTTTCAATTACAAATTTGTGTTATCATGCATGTGTAACAGGAGAGGGAAGATGCACGGCAAGACCGGGGTTCCTCCGAACTCTAGACGGATGCTCTACCATTTGAGCTATCTGGTCGCCGACGATCGACCCAGTCCAGTTCCGCTACATTCCTCCTTCCTTCAACTAGGTCTTCGACCCTGAAGACACACGAGGCCCTATACCACCTTCTGCGGGTATATTTCGTTGGTCGCCAAATGTAACAGGAGAGGGAAGATGCATGGCCAGACCGGGGTTCGAACCTGGGACCCTCCTAACTCTAGACGGATGCTCTACCATTTGAGCTATCTGGTCGCCGACAACGACCCAGTCCAGTTCCGCTACACATATGTACACCCTGTATACATGTTCTTGTGACATGTTGAAAGTTACAGCTCAGTTAACATAATAATATAAGTATATATATGATAAATAAAATTAGGAGCTCTATAGAATTATTTACAGCAATGTTGTAAGCACAAACATATATATATATATAAATCTGTATATTTTGAAAGACTTTTGAAATAGAAAATGACTCAATTTTCAGGACACAATGCTTATTTACATGACCAATACATTACATTTAACTTCTATGCATACTTTTAGGCTCACACCAGGTCAAATAATATAAAGAAAACATAAATAATTGGAAAATTCTCTACTTAATATAGAGACATTTATAAATCCATATAATAATATTAATTTTAAAATAATATTAATCCATATAATAACAATATTAATTTTATGTAAAAATTGTTGTTGTTTTTATTTACCAAGGTTTATTTGCGTTGTTTGGGTAGTGAACAAATATGGTCCAAGGAAATACAGCAGCAACAGCAGCAGCAAAATGACCATGATAAGTTTTCTGGACCTAAAGTGGATAATAAGCAGTTGTTCAAGTGGGAAATTGAAACCTGAAATACTGAAGACAGTATGCATGGTTAAAGCAGAACAGCAATTTGTGAACAAACGGGTGGTTTTGGATCGATAAATATATCAAAATATCCTATTAATCTATATATATGTCCTATATATAGCTAGCTGGGTTTTTTTTTCAGCATCCCAAAACTTATAGCAACATCATATCAAATATTGGAGAATCTGGTATTATCAAATATATATTGTGGTAAGTGATGCAATATTGTAACAGCTTGAAATATAATTTCTGCCTTGCATCTATTTAGCAGGCAATATTTCTTGATAAAATTTTGTGATTATTTTTCAAGAAAGAGTCCATATATACATATCTCAACTTGTATATATATGCTACCTTCAATCATCTACATATATATATATTGTCTGGTTATATTATAAAATAAAATAAAAACATTGTGAGCATTATCTTAGCTTCAAGAAAAAATATAACAACCTTTCCCTATAATGCACTCTAGATCTGGCCATGCACACACAAGACATCTCATCTCTTTAAATGTCTAAATTTAAGTCTTGTGTCTGGTCGTTTATGTAGACAAATGGAACCCATTCGTCCATTTTAAATGCATTATAATGATTCTTTCAAGGATAAAAGCCTGGAACAGAAGCAACTATTAATGCAGGCCTTGAAGAAATTTGCAAAGGTTTGCAAGAATGTGACAATGGATCTTTTGGCCCGCCCATATGTCAGGTTGGGCACAACGGCGCACATGGGTAATGATCCTGCATTCGGGTAACAGTTACCCATTTGGGTATTAAACCATTTTATTACTAAAATGGGGGAATAAAGTGAAATAAAAACACACAAAGTTCTTTTAGACACTTTGAGCATAAAAGGGCGTCATTCTGTCATCTAAATCAAATAATTAACACACTGAAGTACATTTGTGCACAAACATTTATCAATTCTGACGTCTTAACTTTTTGTGAAAAGGACAAATTAAACCATATCACTGACTTTGTTCTCCATTGACTTCAGTGTGAAGTCAATGGGGCTATCCTGTGCAATTGTGACAGGTGAGCATAAATTTTTTATGTGTGCTATTTATAGCTACTCTACGAACAACACACTATAAGCAATGGAGGTGATACAATTTGTCATTTTTACACTTTTTTGTACACAATTGTACCTCATTGTATTTTTTATTTGATTATGTTGAAAGAATGATGCCCTTTTTTGTTCATAATGTGTAAAAGAACTTTGTGTTTTTATTTCACTTTATTACCCATTTCAGTAATAAAACAAGAGGCCCAATGGGCCTGCATCGCTCACCTGTCATTAATCTAACACTTGTAATCTTAAGATTTCATAAGAACCTATTAAAAGATTTAAACATATGACGCCTCTGACCTTGATTGTCGAACAAGGACATTAAGTTGAAAGTTGATCAAGGTCATTCATTTGAACTAACATGGTAGTCCTTCATCCCAGTATGCTACAGGCCCAATTTCAGTACCCTGGGCCTTTTTGTTATTGAGAAGAAGTTGTTTGAAGATTTTAAGACATCTGACCCCAGTGACCTTGAAAGTGGGTCAATGTCATTCATTTAAACAAACTTGGTAGCCCTTCATCCCAGCATGCTACAGGCCCAATATCATCTCCCTGGGCATTTTGGTTATTGAGAAGAAGATGTTTAAAGTTTTTGACATGTTTGACCCCTGTGACCTTGAAAATAGTTGAAGGTCATTAATTTTAACAAACTTTTTAGCCCTTCATCCAAGTTTGCTTCTGGCCAAATATGGACACCCTAGGCCTTTCGGTTATTAAGAAGAAGTCGTTTAAAGTAAAATATTGACGCCGGACGGACGACGGACGGAATCCGGACGGACGACGGACGCCGCGCCACGGCATAAGCTCACTTGGCAGGAAGTGCCAGGTGAGCTAAAAATATAAGCATCTGCAAAAATGTTCGTTTTGTGCCATTTTCATTTTAATCTCACTCCAGTTTCATGTCAGATCTTGGATGCTTTAGTATTTTTTCATGTTTAGGCTTGTGTGCAGCTGAAAACGAAAGAGGTAAATTCCCGGAAAGTGAGCTTATTATTACTGAAATGGGTAACTGCAGTTACTGTACCCGAATGCAGGATTATTACCCATATGTGGTCTGATAAATGGCAGATGTCATTCAACACCTTAAAATGTAAATCAATGCATCTGGGGCATAGTAACCAGGAAAATAAATATTTAATGACAATCAACGGAAGCTCAACCAATATAGCACAAGTCAAGAAAGAAAAGGATTTAGGAGTCACATTCGACAAAGACTTGAAGTTCAGCAAGCACATATCAGGATGTGTGTCAAAAGGTAACCAAATGATCAGCGTTGTCAGACGAACTTTTGAACAACTTAATAAAGAAACGTTCCTAACAGTCTACAAGGCATTGATCATGATCAGGCCACATGTAGAATATGCAAGTTCTGTTTGGAATCCAATCTACAAAAAGGATATCATAGCCATCGAAAACGTACAGCATCAAGCAACAAAATTAGTTAAAGCCATAAGAAACGAGACATACCTGTGGGAAAGACTACTAAATCTAGGAATCCCAACGCTCCAATATAGAAGGAAATGGATATGGTACAGACGTACACAATTCTACAGGAAATTGATAAAGTAGAGAAATCCGAGTTTTTCCGAACTAGAGGATAACACCAAAACTAGAGGACACCCGTGGAAGCTAAAGAAAGTAAGGAGCAGGATAACCTGTAGAAAAAAAATGTTTCTCCAACAGAATTGTGAACGATTGGAACAATTAACCTACCAAGCTTGGTAGTGACTGCAGGAAGCCTGAACATTTTAAAATCAAGACTGAATGATCACTGGAGAAATCTGCCTATTAAATTCACACCTGATTGTTATTTAGCTCCAGAAACACAAATAACCCAAAGGTACGCACACGTTATAATTTAGTGATATTGTATCGCTAATTTTAACAAATGCAACAATAGAAGTTATTGGGGGTCTTAACTCAAATTTTTTAACTTATGATAAGCTGCATTAAGGAAGGTATGAGTATTCCATAAATCACTAATTGGAGTTGTGGATTAGAGAACAGGTTTAGCTACCCATAGAGAAGTATGAGACGAGTATGACCGAATCGCATTCAAATAGAACTTCAGAGACTTCTGGAATTCCAGAATGTGTTGCTTACCATAAAGTGTACATATATAGTGTCTAGAAACGGACAATGGAAGAGTATAGCAGTCTAACATTGGAGAAAATGAATTTTAAGGTCACGTGATAATCAACAGTTAATGTTGCTGGTAGCGGGTTAGTGAATCTGTTTCGCTACCTCTACACGTCTGCAACTATATATCACGAATTTTAATTGTACAGAGTATTGATTTTTAAATCAACACACTAAAAGCGTTAGTATGCACTTTTAACTATAAAAACTTGTCATCAACAAATATGAGCATACCATAAAGTATCAATGACAACAAGATATAGGACAGTCTCACAAGTCGAAGACTTACAACGACTGGCAGAACAGTGCGAATGCGCCGTTGTTCCAAACCTGTATGTCATAAACTAGCAATATCTTCTTCTTCTTCTTCAGGGTCCATACCACGTTAGTGTATTCTCAGACTCGATACAACCTTTGGATCGCGATAAACGAAAGAGTTTTATTCAGGGTTGCCAACTCTCACAGCGTGAGACAAAAACTCACGCTAAAGACAAAAACTCACGCTAAAACGTCCTCACTCACGCTGAAACATGTTTTACGCCATGTGAGCAATAAATCTCAGGCATTTGAAAAGAGCCTCCCTCCATCCCACGCAAAGCCATAAATCGGCAATTTATAGCTTGGACCGTACAAAGGGAAACAACTCCTATTGCCATGTTGTGCTTTGGAAGTGAGCTGACGCGAGGTGTCGCTTTACATCCGGTGGAAACGAATGTAAATAATATCGTAAGGCAAGTTGTTTTCACTCGTAACCTTAATAACCTATCACGCTAAAAATAAAGTTCTACTCATAATGTTGTCGTGTATTAGGAAATATTGTTGTCGGGGCGTGTCTTCACAAATATTAAGAGAAAACGATTCTTGAAACACGAACAGACGAATGACTGATGAAAAGTTCGAAGTTATTTTTGCAGTATAAGTGGCGAATATGATTTAACGTTAACGCACCAAAGACTTGTAGAACTAAACACTTTTCAATCTCTTGTGCTTTGGCATGTTGGATAGACGTAGTACGTAGGTATACATAATCATGCAACAAATAAATTGAATCAAATATTGCAGACATGGTACAAGTAAATGATCAGGGTCAGTTTGTTGCTTTGGATAATGTAGGAGCCAGAAATAATTGGAAAACAGTTTTCACTGTCAAATTACATTTTCTTTTATCTGTCATGTTAATGAACTTTTCATATTACTACTATGGTAAATTTCTGGCTTTTGATATGAACTGTTATTTTTTTTGACAGGTCATGGAACATCCCATGCCATAGTAGCAATATTGACAGTAAAACAAAAAAGTGACTGGTACCTGCTCTAGCCAAGAAAGAAATTGTTACAAAAAGGCCTTTGTTTATAATGTGTTGCATTTCTGATGTCAAGTTGTTTGTGTGATAAATAAAAATCTAATATATATCTGCAAAAAATGTTTTGTTTTTATTTCCTGCAAATATCTTGAAGTAAAATGAGCAACAATGCAGATGTTACTGTAGTCGGTAAAAGCCAGGATTAATTTTATACATAGGTAAATGTTATCTCAACACCTGAAAAAGACGTTACGCCGCGACGCCGTCAAAAGTCTCACACTTCAGAAAACCCAGTGGAGGGAGATCTCCCACACTGGACTCCTAAGAGGTTGGCAACCCTGTTGATTGACAAAAAATAAATGCAGTCTTAAGTGACATGACTTTTCGAAGCAATTTAAAAGAATAAAATAACTTTATTCACGTGTATACACATGACACGATTCACAATCGGCAGGGCTGAAATTGTATACATTATAGGCCTACAGGCTATATGAATCGAAATATCGCATCGGTGTTAGTGTGTTACCTGCTTAAAGAATTAATTCTACTGAAAGAATTCTGTATAGTTCCCTTCCACCACATCTGGCGAGTTCTAAAAATTATCGGTAATTTGCAACAAAACAGGCGTCTGGCAAAAATCAGACCATTATTCATACTCCACAGCTCGAATGCCACATCTAACCCGCCATGACAGTTTAATTCTGTCCCGCATGTAATGAAATTTCTTGAATCGTAATTAAGCACTGCTGTTAAAAAAACACATGATCACATAGGAAAGAAAATTATGTAAGTCATCATAAAATATATAACATCTTATTTAAATTTAGACGATACATTTAATGGAACTATTGCGTTTACTCCTGATCAACTTCCGGTTAAAATTCCTGTTGTACAAATATGATAGATAAATATAGAGGGGAAACAATGTAAACAAGCAAAGAAACTATCTAAACTTGTCCGCTTATCGTCAGGAGGCTATCTTAGGTATATCCGGTAAGTGGGATTTATATTTGCAGGAATGTTTATTGGACATTAAAGCAGAAATACTCTTGCTGTGATGGGTTGTCAATGACTCATGATATGCCGACGGAACAGCATTCTAAATGCAACTGCACTCTCTCGCTAACATTGACTATGCCTACAGTCTCAGATTCAGAGTTAAGTATATCCGTGTTTAATTATACACTGAACAGTTACACGGAGATGCAATTCACTTGCATATATATCCAGATGCATGTACCTGTACATTTGTATGTTAACAGTAACTGTTTCCCTATTTGCAAGATTATTATGGGGGGGGGG